AATGACAATAAGCAGAAATGTGAGTCAGACGCAGTTGTAACATTGAAGAACAATAGGGTTATTCTGGACATGGTAGACCGCAGAGAGCGAATACATATGCGCCACTGAGAATGATTTTAAGCCACATCACCGATTGTCTTCATTCACTGCTGCCTACCATCACAAGGAACCAAACCGGTCAGATAATCTACTGTTCCCTATGTAGGTGACTTAAACCAACTGGTAAAGATTTCGTAGACTGATGCCATGTTTTCCTTTGACCACCACTAGCTCTTTTCCAACCTAATTCTATGTCAGTTAACATTTCCTGTCAAGGAAGGCAATGGTTCGACATGCATAACAAGTCACCTCATCATCTTAATCAATGGCTACACACAATCTCACTGATTGGCTTTATCCTCCTTACTTAGCACTAACTGGACGCCCAACCTCAATATTACTCACTGTATTGTACCACCTAACATGGGAGGTAGACCACAGACACCTATGCTCAAAGACATTTAGCCTTTGCATATTTTCTATTTCCAATTACCACTGTCTCACAGCCATAAAGAAGGACGGAGTAACTGCTGAGCAGTAAACATGCCCCTTCATCGATAGGCGGTTATCGCGTATACACCGGAGATGACGAGCTTTTTGTATCCATACTGTGATTTTGCCAGCGACCAATCATCTGGGGCTGGTGCACATTCCCAGATAAGTGAAGTGGTCAATATGCTCCACTAATACGCTCTCTATCTCTAAGGTAGGAGTCAATGTAGTTCACTTCTGTGAATTCATCTTACGTTTGACAGGAGCAAACAGAAAGCGAAGCGCTACAAGGTTACTAATTAAGGTATTCACAAGACTCTAAATTTTCAAGTATTGGTTTTGTAGGGATTTTGTTTGATTGTATGGAGGATTTCATCATGAGCTGACATCAGTTGGAGAACCACTGGAAAACCTGGGAGTATTGGAAAACTGTTTCATCTCGGTTTGGGACTCTTCAGCAGCACGCATCCACCACGAGGGGTTCGAACTCAGGACCTTCTGAATACAAGGCGAGCTTGCAGACCACTGATATCAGCTCACGACGAAATCCTCCAACCCATCAAACAAAATCATTACAGAAGCAATACTTGAAAATGAATCTGATGCTCACCAGCGACTAGCCCTATTCAGTCAGTGACCTGGGGTTCTAGTGAGAAACCATGTCCAGTAGGGTACGGCAGGTTGAAGATGAGGCAGTAACTCATCGAAGAAGACATTGCGAAATAGTCGCTCTATTTCGTGAATTGGCAGAATTTAGAATTCATGGACTAGCCATTGGATCGGGTCCCAGTGGCTTAATGGTCTACGAACTCATCATGCAGCCAGAAGGTCCTGGGTTCAAACCCTGGCGATGTGTGCGTACTGATTAAGAGTCCCAAACTAGGACGAGACAACTGTCCAGTACTCCAAGGTTGTCCATTGGTTCTCGAACTGATGTCAGCTCATGATGAAATCCTGTAACCAATCAATCAAATCCCTACAAACCAATACTTGAATCTAAGATAACTGTGGGATTAAGTTTAATTGACTGAGTGATTTCACTTCGAGCTGTCACACTGCATGTAGTATGCAAAGTTAGAGACAAGAAAGAAAACGGAAATTTGAAAGAATGACAATAAGCAGAAATGTGAGGCAGAAGAAGTAGTAACATGGAAGAACAATCGGGTTATTCTGGACATGGCCGACCTCAGAGAGTGAATACATATGCGCTACTGAGAATGATTTTGAGCCATATCACCAATTGTCTTCAGTCAGTGCTGCCTACCATCACGGGGACCAAAACCAGTCAGACAATATACACTTCTCTTTGTGTCTGACTTAAACCAACTTGTAAAGATTTCGTAGACTGATGCCATGTTTTCCTTTGACCACCACTAGGTCTTTTCCAACCTAATTCTATGTCAGTTAACATTGCCTGTCATGGAAGGCAATGGCTAGACATGCATAACAAGTCACCTCATCATCTTAATCACTGACTTCACACAACCTCATTGATTGACTTAGCCCCCCTACTTAAAACTAACTAGATCCCCAACGTCAATATTACTCATTGTATTGTACCACCTAACATGGGAGATAGACTGCAGACACCTATGCTCAAGGATAGTCAGCCTTTGCATATTTTCCATTTTCAATTGCCACTATCCCAAAGCCATAAAGAAGGACGGAGTGAACTGCTGAGCAGTAAACATGCCCCTTCATTGATAGGCGGTTATCGCGTATACACTGGAGATGACGTAAGTTGATGAGTGTCACACAAGCTTTTTCTATCTATGCTGTTATTTTGTCAGCGACCAATCATCTGGGGCTGATGCAAATTCCCAGATAAGTGAAGTGGTCAGTATGCTTCACTAGGGATTTTTTGTTTGATTGGATGGAGGATTTCCTCATGAGCTGACATCAGTTGGAGAACCACTAGAAAACCTGGGAGTACTGGACAGCTGTTTCATCCTAGTTTGGGAATCTTCAGCAGTACGCATCCACTGGGGTTTGAACCCAGTGCCTTCTGAATACAAGGCGAGCTCTTAGACCACTGATGTCAGCTCACGATGAAATCCTCCAATACTTGAAAATGAATCTGATGCTCACCAGTGACTGGCCCTATTCAGGTAGTGACCTGGGGTAATGAGAAGCCATGACCAGTAGAGTACAGCAGGTTGAAGATGAGGCAGTAACTCATCGAAGAAGACATTGCGAAATGGTCGGGCTATTTCGTGAATTGACAGAAGTTAGAATTCATGGACTAGCCATTGGATCGGGTCCCAGTGGCTTAATGGTCTACGAACTCATCATGCAGCCAGAAGGTCCTGGGTTCAAACCCTGGCGATGTGTGCGTACTGATTAAGAGTCCCGAAATAGGACGAAACAACTATCCAGTACTCCAAGGTTGTCCATTGGTTCTCTAACTGATGTCAGCTCACGATGAAATCCTCCATCCGTGATCAGTGCTATGTGGTTTCTTGGCATCACATTCACGACCAAACATTGCCATAATACTTCTTGTTCGATGGAGTAGAATTCCGTCTTCAGGTCAATAAATATTACAATTATTGGGAGCCAGTAAATATCCCTATGTAGTAGCAGGGAGTACTGGATAACTTTTTCGTCCAAACTTAGGACTTCTAATCTGCACGCCCTCACTGGACTTCGAATCTAGGACTTTCAGGTTTCAAGGCGACCGCTTAAATTCCAATTTCTGCTAATCCATGAAAAACATAGCGCCAACACCAGTCAATGTCACAGATGAGTAACTGACCTCTTACCTGTCTTTGTGGACCCCGTTGGTTTCAAATGTCTATGATTATAATTTTATTATATAATTCTAAAGCTTAACGATAAATTACCAAAAATAGGTATCCCCTTAAAGTGTGTTCTAAAATTTTGATTTTGTGTTTAAGTTTTGGAAGTGGATGAAGGTGATCCGTGGGAAGCCCTGGACCTAGGTTCCTTAGGTGTTAGCTTTATTCAGCACAGAAAGAATGGATGTCTTCACTCCCTGAGATTCTAACCTGTTTGATTGCATGAAGGATTTCATCATTAGCTGACATCAGTTAGAGAACCACTGGGAAGCTTTTTTGTCCTAGTTTGGGAATCTTCATCAGTACGCACCCACCGATAGGGTTCGAACCCAGGACCTTCTGAATACAAGGCCAGCGAGCTCGTAGACCGTTGAGCCACTGAGACCCGATCCAATGGCTAGTCCATGAATTCTGAATTCTCCCAATTCACGACATAGCGCGACCGTTTCGCAACGTCTTCTTCGAAGAGTTACTGTCGTGAATCGGCAAAAGTTAGAATTCAAGAACCATTGGATCGGATTCCAGTGGCTCAATGGTCAGTGACCTCGTCTTGTAAGCAGAAGGTCCTGGGTTCGAACCCTATCGGTGGGTGCGTACTGATGAAGATTCCCAAACTAGGATGAAACAGCTGTCCAGTACTCCCTGCAGGTTTTCCAATGTTTCTTTAACTGATTCCAGGTCATGATGAAATCCTCTATGCAATCAAACAAAATCCCTACAAAACCATTACTTGAAAATCTAACCTGTTTCATCTTTTGCTTCAGTAGAAGATGTAATCGCTGAGTTATTCTATTCTACAATTGACTTCTTATAGATTTTTAATGGATATATATTAATTGGTCACTGGGTATAACCTCTGCCGTGTATCTAGTCCTACGTTTTCATACTGTTTAGATTTTGCTATTCCTGATGACGAATGCCAACTAGCACGAAACCTAGGTCGAGCAAGGCTTCCAGTGGCCAATTGCCTCCAACTATCTAATATCATCAACCAATCTGGAAATCTTCGTCACTCAACATCAACAACAAAATTCGTATTTTTAATACAAACGTCAAGTCAGTTTTGCTATACGGATCAGAAACTTGGCGAGTCACAAAGAATATTTCCAACAGCCTGTTGGAGATCTTTATCAACAACTGTCTTCACTGACTCTATACTGAAGATCAGATGGCCGGAAAGAATCACCAACAAGAAACTATGGGAACAAACAAAGCAAGAACCAATCGCTGAACAAATATGCAGGAGAAAGTGGAGATGGATTGGACACTCGCTGAGGAGGCCGCTGGGCGACCTCGCGCGTCAGGCCATCGCTCTAGTGGAACCCGAAAGGGAAGCGGCGAGTGGTTCGTCGGTGCAAGGGTGACATGGAGGAGATCGTGTGAAGAGGAGTTGAAACAGTATGGATTAACATAGACGCAGGTGAAGGTACAGCAGAAGACAGAAGCAAGTAGAGACGTGCAGCTGAAGCCCTATGTTTCACTAGGAACCCAAGGGAACAATAACAATAATGTGCACCGTGATGGCGAGCTACTTAGAATGGAGGCCACACTGCGAATCTGACTAACAGAATTCAGTTTGCATCGAAGAAAAGAATAGACAAATCTCACTAGTTACTGACTAATGTCCAATCAAAAACTGTACAGTATACATTTCACCTTTTAACTAATTACCAAGCATAAATAATCCATATGAACGATACATTTCATCATTTGACTTTACATATGCTAGAAGACTCAGATTGATGAGAGTGCCCTGAAAGAAGAAAAATGGCATTAATATTTACCCTGTAAAGAAAAAATCGATATATAAATATACATATTTTCAAAAAAGGAATAACAAAAGAAATTTTCAGGTAACACTTTCTTTACTCACCTGAATAAATTCATCATTTGCTTGCATCAGTGTTTCAATTTCATCGCGTGAACGTGGAAAATGACCAATTGGAAAGCCATCAACTAATTCTGGATAATCCATATCACTATGAGCATCAATATGAACCTAGCAAAAAGAAAGACAAAAAAAAATAAAGCTTTCGATCATATAAGAGTTGATGAACAGTAATAATAATAATAATAATACTCATATTAATAGTGTGGGAGTGGACAATGTGAGTTTAACTGTATTCAACACGTCATTTAAACAATGATTTATGTTGTGTACGATATGAATCTATTGATAAAGCTAATCTTCGCTATCAGTCAACTGGGAAATGAAATATTAGGGGTAGAACACGACTTTCTCTGAGGTATGGTAAGGGCTGATTTCAAAAACAGCGTGTGAGTACACGGTATATTGTTTTTATTCTCTTCGGTTTCGATTGGAACACAAGGCTTCAAACTTTAACTGTGGAGTTCCAGTAGGGGTGTTTGGGATGGAGTTGCTAGCTTCACAGCCGACCTTCTCTCTTTACCGGCCTTATTACCAGAGTAGAGAGATTTAGTAGTGTGTTAACTGGGGATCGAACCCCGGACCACGTATGTGCTTGGGGAGCGTTCTATCATTGAACCACCAACGTATACTGTTACAGTAGAAGTGGTATAATTATACAAGTGATACTATATACCTATCAAATTGCTTTCAAAAGTTAATTTGTGGGAATTTGATTGTTTTAAAGTTTGGTCACGAATTCTCTTCGTTTAGAGAACCATTGGAAAAAGACAAGAATTGCTGAATAGCTTTTTTGTTTTGGTTTGGGATTCTCCATCAGAAACTACCCATAGCTCTACCAGAGATTGAACTCGGAATCTTTAGGTTAAGAAGTCGAGCTCGCTGACCAGCTAACCATTTAATCCGGGATTCAATTACCCATGAATTCTTAATTCTGAACATTTGTCACTTTTAGCACCAAGTCCAGCTAATGTTGTCTAGGAGTATTTGTCCACACATCTGATCTGGTAGACCCTACTGGTCACAGTTTTGTCCTGTAGCTAGCCACTAGTGAACACCAGAATTCTAGTGAAAAGTCGCGACACCAGTAGGTTCTACCGTGTTGGTTGTGAGGACAAATACTCGCAGGGGATATTGGCTAGCGTTGGTGCTAAAAGTCGTAAGTTTTCAAAAGTCGGAATTCATAAGGCATTGAATTCTGCTCCAAGCGCATAAATGGTCAACGAGCTATGTGTGGAATTTTGAATACATCAGGTTCAATCCCTGCTTTGATTGTGGTTAAGTACCGATGAAGAGTCCTAAGTTAATACGAAACACAGGTGTCCAGTACTTCAGGCTTTTATTCAATGTTCGACGAACTGATATCAATCCGTAATCAAACTTGATACTGATTGTTGCGTTCAAGGTAATCTTCACAGAGTTATAGTTAACTGTTCTGCCTATTTTTTGGCATGCATAATAATTATGAATGAGGAACAAAATTAGAAAAAAACCGATAACTATTGATGTTTCTTTTCTCAACTGCTGGAATAGGGCAATAAATATTCTGTGTCATTTTGATGAATGTCTTTCTTATTCAGCTGATTTTTTTCAAATTCACAACTTCAGAGCAGAAAAGTGATAAACCATTATTCTAACTTTATGACGCAAAAGTAATAATCGCTTATCCGAATAAATATTCCATACATTTTTCTAGTTTTAAATAGACTTTTGGTTGTCTAAACTTTAGATATGAGTTTATAAATGCATGCAGTGCCAGTGTTGTTTTGAACTTCGCGTTGATTCACTAATTTGGACCCATTTTTTTTTATTTTTTGATTATAGCTTGATTCCACACCGTATCTTTGGTACAAATATGGAATTTTCAGTATGTGATATCGATGTCCCAAATTTTGCAGGCCGACCATAGATATCAGGTGTGCGTCTGCAGGAGATCGAACCCCGGACCATGTACATGGTCGGCGAGAGTCCTAACCGATGTGCCCCCGACGCTCAGTTTTTGTTGGCATGTAGCCAATCTATATGGATACTTTGACAATGACATGAAATAAACATAATGTCACTTTGGTGGACTGTGACTAGCAGTGCAGTCCAGGATGGTCATGTTGTCCCATTTTGAAGTAGTCAGCTGGATTTCCCTACATTTCCCTATGGTTGATAGGTAATGTTCCCCATGAGACGCTACCCCGGCACCCACCGTTTCAACCGTCGAGATGTTTTCCACAAGGCCACTTCGCCTAGGACAAAAAGAGCATTCTAGATGTCGCTACTTGTCACCATCAATGAAAAACACATTTTTATACTCATATTTCAATCTTAATGTCTGTCTGCATTATCTGATAAGATGGTCACCGGTGAAATAAGCACGAAGAAGGTAGCATACCTGCAAAAATCTTTGCTAACACTCATTTCACTACTGAAATAAATATCTCCTCGACAGGCCAATAGAAACAACTTTTCTGTTTAGTATTTTAAATTAACAATGAAATAATCGAAAGTTCAATTATTTTCTCTGAAAATTTAAGCTACTTATAAGTAGATGAAAACGTATCACATAATATTTTCAATTTTTGCGCATTAAAATATATCTAGAAATATCATATGATATGACTTAATATGATTATGAGCAATAGTTTATGCTCGAATCGTTATCAGTTAATATTACTGTAAAACACTGTGTGACTTATCAAAATAAAATCTTATCCATAATGCAGTTATACTCTTCCACAGTGCTCAAGTTTAATAGTTATATCACAATAAAATTTGTCCTTTTTATCATTATATGCCATCTGTTTACGCCGTTTCAGACAGTCTTATATGTGATTATGAAATTGATTTGAAACAGCACAAATCTGTCGATAAGATTCATAATACCATATTGTCTTTTAGTAAGTGAGAAACCCAGTTGCTAACTTTCTAGAAATCAGTATTTGTTTGAGTTGATCCAATAATCAATTTTTGTTCTGATTGTGTTCTCTGAACTGGTTGATTTCTTTGAGAAGCTTTTGTCGTCTCCCTTATAGACAATGTCTTCAGTACAGGATTTACTATGAAATGAACTTATTGGAATACTCCATGAATGACTGATATAATCGTATCTTCTGATACCTATTGTCGTGACTGGTTGTTAATTTACGTCACTATTGATTATTTTTATTGACTTGAAGTTTGAACTTTCCTGTCATGTGATTTATTTTTTATTAGTTGGTGAATTTAGTCCACAGGAATCGTGTGTTCGTTAATCGCTGGCTGATTCATCTTAGTAAGTACCAGGCTTTTAGAAATTCCCTGGCAGCATTTTTGGTGTCATTCCATAATTGTCTGTGTGCATTGATATGAAGGACACAAATTTGATTAGGAAAAGCTAGAGATTTTAAACAAAAGGGAACACAAGAAAATGTAAGGGGATTTCTAGCGGCCAGGTGAAGCAGTGATTAACAAACACACATCACTATAGACCAAATTTACCAACTAATAAGGGCTAAGCCACATAACAAAAAAGTTTAAATTTCAAGTCGATAAAGATTGAAATTAACAACTAATCACAACAGATTCTGATGACAGATACAGTTACATTATTCATAGCGAGAATTCAAATGAGTTCACTCCATATTAGGATTTGAGCTGAAGATGTTGCCTATAAGGACAAGCAGACCTCCGCAATTGAGTCAACCAGCTCAGAGAACATAATCATCAAATCAAAATCATCCAAATGAGCTAGAAATTTTTTCCGTTAATAAGTGTTTTGTATCATTTATTGAACTCTTATGAATTATCATGAATTTTTTCAGTCTGAAGTGAAAGAAACGAATTCACAATTCGCAACACAGGACTTCAACAACACGTCTCCATTTTTTCCTGTTTTTGCAGTCCTCTTCAGCTGGCCCCACAACTCCCCATAGCTTCTTCTCATCTCCTTCTCATTCGATCTCCTCAATGTGACCCTGAAACCCACATCCAATTCATCATTCCCCACTCGGGTTTCACTCGAGCTATGACGTTGGAGCACCCTGTGGCTCGATGGTCTCCTCAGCGTGTATCGAATCCATCTCCATTTTCCTCTACATATTTGTCGAGCAAAACATTCTTGATTGATTTTTTTTCTAGAGTTTCTTGTTGGTAATTTTCTTTTTCTTTCGTGATTAATAATGCACAAGTGTTTTAGCTGTGGTTCTTAACTTTAAGGGATGCCTAACTTCCGGATTTTACAACTTTTCTACATTATCTATTTGGTTTTGCCATCTTTTTTGGTAGTGTTGACATTTTTTCTGAATAATTCAGTAATTGTGCCCAGTGGATACGCTCTAGGGGATATATATGTACATAATTATTAAGAAACTAAATCCCATAAGGGAATTTAAACTATATATATGAATATGATTCATCATAAGCCTGTGAACTACGATAAAATAATTCTGATAATGATCATAATTAAGTGATAACATATAAAAATTACTAATGGAATTCATAGATTTTTAGAAGGATGGTGTAAAATTTATACGATTAGTTGGCACAAAAAAAAAATAACTTTGTAACAAAGTAAAAAAAATGTTTGATAAGATAGAATCTAATATTGCGAAAAAAAAGTTGAATTGTTCACTTAAACTTATAAAGCGGAACAAATGAAGCAATAAAAGGGAAATTAATCCAAATGAAAGTCATGATAATCGAAAGGTACGATTATATCTTTGTAATTCTACAATAGGAATTATTAAAACTTAATAATAATAATGTAAACGAATAGAAGAGAATGAGACTTCATACATTTAATCCCCACTTATGAATTTGAATAAAGCAAAAACAGAAGTTTTTGTAGAATAATATGGTGCCGTCATTGCTTATTTCATTGGCTTTTCATCAGCTGCTTATAGCCCAAAGACATTATTAAGTCTATGTACAGACACAACTTCAACAAACTTGCACAGAGAGTTCATTTTCAAGCAAAAATCAATCAGTCAACATATGCACACAATGCTAATAATAATATTACTCACTTTATCCCAAACAATACTATCATACACAATAGAATCTTTTGGCATTACATAATCTGATGAAAACATCCATTTACCAGGGCAAGAAAAGACTGATAACTGCGTCTTTCTGGGCGAATAAATCGGGTCTCAAGCGCTTGATGGAGATTGTTTTGGCAAACCTAAGTTAAGGAAGAGAATGACTTTTAATTATACTGTGTAAAGCTTTTCTCATTTAGAATTTAATTGGTGGATGGTGACTAGCAGTGAAATCCAGGATAACGCGCATTTCGTCCTATTTGGGGCTCGTCATCTGGATGTACCTGAATTCCCCAGTAGGTGATGATGATCCCACCGAACCTCAAACCCAGTGCCCATAGTTTCCAACGCCAAAGCGTTATCCACTAGACCACTTGGGCCACGAGAGCCACTTCTCATCCAACGGGTCATATTAATTATTTAATTCAGTCTTTAGATTTTCCCGTTGATTGACTGGACCGAAGTACTCGGACTCAGGTTGACATGTCGACTTCTTGCGCAGATGCTTCCACGATGTTTGAGCATGTAATTAGAAGTTAATTGGTGGATCGTGACTAGCAGTGGAGTCTAGGATGCGCATTTTCTAATTAAAACTGAAGAGTTTAATTTAGACGAGTTTACTTTGACAAAATAAGCCTAATCATCAGGTTCATTATGCACTTTACAATTCCTTTGACTAAACTCTCATTATATTAAAAATTATGAGAATATATTTTGATTTTCTACATGTAAACATGTTTGAGAGTTTAATATTACTTTGGTAATGCTATGTACTGCTGATGTATGTGAGTGGTTCAGTAGCAGAAGTGCTTGCCAACAGCCTGAATGGTATGATCTTCAATTCCTGACCGACGCACTACTAAATTTTGCCTAACCGCTAGTAATTTAGATAAAGGGAAAAGGACTACATCATCGCTAGTGAAACGTCAGAGCTCAAGCTTGAAACCTTATTTTTCATTGGGAATACGAAAGTAACTAAATAAAGTGATAATAATAATAATGAACTGCTACGGCGGCCTGCTTAAATCACTGGGCTACCGTAATTTCCACCCATCAAAACGCCTAAACTCTCCTGCATTATTTATTGTTTAAATCATGTAATTATATCAGATGACTACTACATGAACTCTCGCATATATTTAATGAACTTTCAACGAAACGCTGTGCAACTCTTGAAGTAAGTGAAGAAACAAATTGTACAGAATTGGTTCTCTCTGCATATACAACAACACTAAGTCATATTATGTACTTCAGAGTATATCTGTGCATGTAAATTTTGTATGAAGTGGAACTAAATACGCTGAAAATTTCTGTGCTACGTGTTCACATACTGTGTGAAATGAAGCTTTATTAATATTATTATGAGTAATATTGTAACAACAGAAGACAAGGGTCAGGTAACAGATCGTTTATTGAGAAAATCAAGAGATATTTATAGATCTCTACGTACATTATTGCTAACGTTATTGTTAGTGGAGAAGCAACGTCTTCTGATTGATTGTTTTCTTGCTGAAGGTTATTCTGTATTGTTTGTGGCCGTTTCTCAGGAAGCTAAGCCATATATCTACGAATCGTATTTGCACACGTTAAGTTTGCTGTGATTGGTTGTCGAGTTCCTCAAGGTTAGTCTTAGTTCTTGTTTTTATCATGACCCCGATTCGGGACTTAAACATTGACGTGAATTGTTGTCTACAATTTCGGCTTGCAGGCAGTTCTCGCCGCAATAGGACCTCTAAAACCAACTAGTAGTAATTCTCAGCTAGTTTGAATTGGTCTAAAGAGAGTAGAACTGTTCCTGTCTTTTTTGGCCGAGTTCAACAGTGATGCCGACCTCTGTGACTACTTCAACAGAATTGTGGTTAATATTCATGTCAAAAAGTTTTGTTTGAAAACAACCACTTATTCACAAATATTTGAAGCGCTACTCCTGTGTTGAAGAGAATGGGGTTTAAATATCTACTAATCGTCTACAAAAAGAATGCATATCTTCACAGTTTCATCAAAAAGTGCTTACACTCGAGTCATAACACCAACAACAATCCATTCTAGCATATATATAAAAAATATCTCTGAAATGACAGCTAGAATATCAAGACTGTGTGAAATAGATCTAGAACAAAAGCCAGCCAGCACAATCACTTCATTCGATAATGCGCAAACCAAAAGACCCATCCAACAGAAAAAGAAGACAAATTTATAACTATTTACAAAATAAATTGCCTGTATGAACTGTAATAAACATTACATGGGTCAAAGTGAGCGTCCCTTACGAATCCGAATCCAAGAATACGAATTGGCTGCAAAAAGACATGATACATGTATTCTTTCATATCAATCCATTTAGATAATTATGGACATCAATTTCATCGGAAGAATGTAGGAGTTTCAAATGAAAGAAACACCTAGAATAATGCCAGAGGAATTTCTAGAAGCCTGGTACTCAAGTGAATTAGCCAGCGATTAACAAACACATTACTACAGATCAAAATCTACTAACTAATAGAAAAATCAATCACATTAAGAAATTTCAAATTCTAAGTCAATAAAAATATGATCAATAGAGACGTAGATTAATAACCAGTCATGACAATGGTTGCCAGGAGATACAATTACGTCAATCATGGAAAATTGAAATGGTTTCATTATATACCAGAACCTGCGCTAAAGATGTTGTCTATAAGGACAATCAAACCTTCGAAATTGAATCAGGGAGTTCAGAGAACATGAATAGTTTAAAAAAGAGGTGATAAAGATAACCACCCAACAACAATAGCAACAACTACAACCAGCACAAGTTACCATCAACAGGAGAGATTCAACAGGGGTCACCTCCTTCCTTCACTTCTCCGGCTATAAAAGCACGGTTTCCACCACACGCAGTTGCAACAGATGAAGATGTCAAATCCAGCCAGTCAGAAACCGAAAAGCAAAACACGCCTTAATCAATCGGAAAGCAGTTTGGAAATCTCCTGCTGTCACTCACCAGCACAAACAACAAGATTCATTCGGATTCGGTTCAACACAAATGTGAATTGAGTCACTCAGTCAGTCAGTCAGTCACTTAATCTATACAGCTCAGAAGCTTGCACTGCGTGTCAGTCAAGAAAAGGATTTCCTACAGGCTATTACAGACTCTTATCAACAGCTGCCACCTTCCCTGCCTGACTCCAAATTGAAGACAAATTGCCAGCCGACTGGCTATTGGGTGAGGAAGAATTAGCAACAAGAAACTGTGTGAGGGGACGAACCAACAAGCATGAGCCGATTGCTCAATATATATGTAGGAGAAAATGGAGATTCATTGAGCAAACTTTGAGGAGACCATCAAATGACATCGCGCGCCAGACAATGCCTCCAGTGGAATCCGAATAGGAAGCAGCGGCGAGCGTGTCTTTGGTGTGTGAGTGACATGGATGATATCTTGTGGGGGGGAACCGTGAGAGATTGTGGGTAATCGTGGTTCACTCCGAAAGAGGACGGCAGAAGATAAGACATAGTGGAGATGTGTTGTTGAAGCCGTATGTTCCACTCGGAACCCAAGGGAATAATAATAATAACTGGAGATTTAGCAGAGTACCGAGAACTGCTAACTCAAAGTCGACCAAGACACAAATTTTAGTTTAACCACCAGTCATATACCCATTGCTTTATTACTAGTCTACGAAATGAACTTATCTTGTCAAAGATTTATTTCTCTTGGTATCGATTTGAATGAAAAAATTGACATCAACTACAAAACTGCTGAAAACTCAAAAGTACCGAATAGCTTTTTCATTTCAAACCAGAAATTTTCATTAGCTTGTATCCATGATACTCGCAGAGAAACTAAATATGAGTGGTCGTTTTGAAGGTTATCATATTTTATCGCCCAGTCAATGGGTCAATGACGTTCTCAAAACCTAACGCTTCACAATATATATATTTATGTCGCCTCTTGCATAAAATATCTTCACAATCAACCTAGTGGGTTCCATGACTTCAAGAAAGTCTTTTCAAGAACTGTTCCCTAGGTGAACTTTGAAATTCTAACTGTTATTAAAAAGATACTGTTAACAGCTTTTGCTTTTATTGAACACCTAAACAATGAACAGGATTAATAAGAGGTGGGAATTACTCATAACACATAAAAATGTTTCTACTGTTAAATTATAAAACTGAAAACTAAAAAGAAATACAATTCACTAAAAAAGATTTTTAAGAAAAAATAATATTCACACTTACCAGAACAGCTTTTTTATCTCCAAATGATTTAGCAGCATCAAACCAATATGGGATAACTATCAATTTGTTTTGTTTTAACATCGATGGTAATTTCAGTTCAGTGATACATTTAAACAAGAAAAAACAATAAAAATAATAATAACATATGATTGACATTCTACTACTGAGTATAAGTGGATATTTAAATGTTCACGTAAATTATATTAATGTCAGTTAGATAGTTTCAACAATAGTTAACAAGAGTTGGTTGGTTTGTGAGGATTTAATTTACAAGACCAGCTGGTAAATCATTCAACCTCGCCTAGATTAATAGCTCACTAGTTTTCTAGCCGGTCACAAGCCCGGATAAAGAGGGAGGGTTGGGGCGTGGTGCTAGCTACTCCACCCCTAATACTTAACCAAATTGCTACAAAAACTTCAACGCACAAATATATTAAAAATTCTAAAAATATAAACAATAACCTTATTTTTCGCTGGAATCGGAGAAGTGAAATGACGCAGGCTGGTGAAAGCCTTAGGGAAGCCAGTCAGCCGATGTGCCTCCTTTCGATGAAAGCAAAAATAAGGATGAGGACGTGGAATGTTCGTACAATGTACGAAGCTGGAAAAGCTGACCAGGTAGCCACAGAAATGAGAAGATTTAAAATAGAAGTGTTGGGAATCTGCGAGAGCAGATGGAACGGATGTGGAAGGAGCCAACTACCAACTGCAGAAACAATAATCTACTCCGGTCACCCAGAGGACAATCACGAGAACACCGAGGGAGTAGCCATCGTGATGTCACCAACAGCAACCAAAGCTCTCATGCAGTGGGAACCAATCTCCTCCAGGATAATGACAGCCAGGTTCAACTCAAAAGGAAGGAAGGTTACAATCATTCAATGCTATGCGCCTACAAACGCCTCAGAACATGAGAAGAAGGAGGATTTCTACAGTCAACTACAAACAGTAATGGACAACGTCCCAAATGGAGATATCAAAATCCTGATGGGTGACATGAATGCGAAGCTGGGAGGAGAAAATACAGGAAGAGAACTCACCATGAGTCGTGAGGCCCTCGGTGAAATGAGCGACAACGGTGAACTCTTCTCAGACTTCTGCGCCTTCAATGATTTGGTGATTGGTGGCAGTATGTTCAAACACAGGGATATATACAAGGCGACATGGATTTTACCAGATGGACACAGCAAAAACCAGATAGACTTCATTTCAATCTCAACAAATATGCAGGAGAAACTGGAGATGGATTGGACACTCGCTGAGGAGGCCGCTGGGTGACATCGCGCGTCAGGCCATAGCTCGAGTGGAACCCGAAAGGGAAGCGGCGAGTGGGACGTCCAAGGGTGACATGGAGGAGATCGTGTGAAGAGGAACTGAAATAGTATGGACTAACATGGATGCAGGTGAAAAGTACAGCAGAAGACAGAAACAAACTAAACTACATATATTATCCTTTAGAGCTCTAACCTAGTAATCTAGAAATTGTCCTTCAAATTTCGATTGACTAAATCAATACTAGTCTAACAATCCAAGGCTGTCATGGAGAAAAAATAACTAAACATTCATGATTGATCTGCTTCAAAGGTACTGTTCTTTGTCAGACAGTATTCATATTTTTCATGAGAGAGAGAGAGAAAAGAACAAGTGAGATGAAATCTTTAACTAGTTCGCTTTGTTTCGACATGCTGCCGCATAACTGTACACAGTAAAAAATATGCTAAATAAATCATTGTCTCAAAGTGGTAAAACTATACTAAGCAGCAAATGAATATCACATGAAGTTGTAGTGGAGCTGTTGTTATACAGTTAAAAAAATAAAGCATATTGTTATTAGAGATATTTTATTCCCCCCCCCTCCCAGTATGGTACTACCTTCTCCTTGGTTTTCTTTTCCTTTAGAAAAGAAGCTGTATTTAAGATAATAGATCATTCTTTATTTTAGTGTGTAGAATAATGCGGGTTTTTTTCGCTGTTGTTGTGGTGGTTGTAATATTACCATGCAATGATTTAGTTTTTTGACGTCAAATAGGAAAAGTTCTGCTGGAAGAATTTTATCTTCTGTCTTTACTGGTTTCTTTTTTATTCATCAGTGACTCTCTTTCTCTAGGCTTCTTTTTCCAGTGGTCGTTTTTCTCCTCTATAATGATTTATGCATCCGTAAATGCGTACATAAGTGATATTCCTATTATTCTGTTCAATAATTAAAACACGAAGAATATAGAGGAAGAGAAAGACATATATGAACGCATTTTTGTGAAATCTCAAGAAACTACATAATAGTTATTCATCAGTATTCTGCGTTATTACTGTTGTCATTATTCCCTTGGGTTCCGAGTGGAACATACGGCTTCAACAACACATCTCCAATTTCTTCTGTTCCTTGCTGTCCTCTTCAGCTGACTAGCTACACGATTGCACACAATCTCTCATCGTTTCCTCCTCACAAGATATCCTCCATGTCACCCTCGCACCGACAAGACACTCATCGCCGCTTCCCGTTCGGATTCCACTGGAGGCATTATCTGGCACGCGATGTATGGTCTCCTCATTGGTCTCCTGAATGTATGCCCAATCCATCTACATTTCCTCCTAGATATGCATTGAGCAATTGGTTCTTCCTTGTTGGTTCGTCACCTAACACAGTTTCTTGTTGCTAATTCTTCCTCACCGGATGGCCAGACGGCTGGCCATTTGATCTTCAGTTTGGAGTCAGGCAGCGAAGGAGGCAGCTGTTGATAAAATTCTGCAATAGCCTGTTGGAAATCCTTTTTTTGACTGACACGCAGTGCAAGTTCCTGACCCGTATAGAAGAAGTGACTGACTGACTTCACATTTGTGTTTAACAGAATCCGAACGAATCTTGTTGTTTGTGCTGGCTGAGTGACAGCAGGAGATTTCCAAACTGGTTTAAAGTTGATGAAGGCGTATCTTGCTTGCGTTTCCAATTTTGACTGGCTGATTTTGACATCTTCAACCGTTCTGACTGCCTGTTGTTGAAACCGTACTTCCTAGCTGGATAAATGAATGAAGGAATTGACCGCTGTTGAATCTCTCCCATTGATGGTGACTGGTGCTGGTTGTTGTTGTTGCAGTTGTTGTCAGATGGGTATCTTCATCACCTCTGTTTTAAACTGGATGTGTTCTCTGAACTCTTCGATACAATTTCGGAGGTGTCGTTGTCCACATGGACAACATCTTCAGCGCAGGTTTTGGTATGAAATGAACCCATTTTAATTCTCCATGAATGATGTAATTGTATCTCTTTGCAACCACTGTCATGACTGGTTCTTAATTTACATCTCTATTTTTACAATTTTTATTGACTTGGAATCTGAACTTTCCTGCCAGGTGATTTAAGTTTTATTAGCTAGTAAATTTGGTCAATAATAATACATAAATGTAGAGCCAGAAGAGGAGTTTATTGAAAAGGATATTCTCTGCTCAATTATTTTATGTTTAATGATGTTTTTGTTAATTGCTGGTTGATTCCTTTGAGTACCAGGCTTCTAGAAATTAACTGGCAGTACTCTAGGTGTTTCCTTCATTTAAAATTTTTACATTATCCCAATAAAATTGGTGTCTATAATTATTAACATGTGTCGATATAAAAGAATATATACCATGTCTTTTCACAGCTAATTTGTGTTCCTGGATTCTGATTCGAAGAGGGCATTCATTTTGACTGATGTGATGTTTATTACAGTTCATACAATTTATTTTGTAAATAGTGATAATTTTATCTTCTTTTTCTGTTGGATGGATCTTTTAGTTTGCACAATATCGAATGAAGTGATTGTGTTGGCTGGCTTGTGTTCTATATCTATTTCAATCAGTCTTAGTATTCTAGCTGTTATTTCAGAGATATTATATATATATATACATATATATATATATATAATAATTCTTTCTAGCAGCGAAGGAGGCAGCTGTTGATAAAAGTTTACAACCTGTTGGAGATCCATTTCGTGACATGCAGTGCAAGTTTCTGACTCGTATAGAAGGACTGACTGACTGATTGGCTTCACATTTGTGTTGAACAGAATCCGAACGAATCTTGTTGTTTGTGCTGCTGAGTGACAGCAGAAGATTTCCAAACTGGATTCAGATTGATGAAAGCGTATCTTGCGTTTCCGATTCTGACTGGCTCACTTTGACATCTTCATCTGTTGCAACTGCCAGTGGTTGAAACCGTGCTTTTATAGCCTGATAAGTGAAGTCGGGAAGCTACCTCTCTGAAATCTCTCCTGTTGATGGTGATTGCTGTTGGTTGTCGCTGTTGCTCTTTTTGTTGGATGGTTATCTTCATCACCTCCGTCTTCTCTATATTCACCTGGAGTCGTGTCTTCGCTGTCTGAATTTTTAGCGAGTTTGTTGGTATTCGTCTGCAAGTCTTCGAGTTTGTGTGACATTAAGCATATATCATCCAGGTGCGAAATCCAGATCTTCTAGAGTCTTCTTCTTGATCCAACGTATTCCTGTCTTCTTACTTACTTCCAACGCACAGTTTGACGCATAATCCACCACAATTAAGAATATCATCAGTGACAATAGGTAACCTTTTCTTACTGATGTCTTCACTCGAAATGTTTTGCTGAGTTTCCTGTTTTGGATCACCTGATACGTGTCACTGTTATATAGCTGTTGAATGAGATTGGTAATTTTTGTTATACGTTATATTGATTAGATTATAGTAGATCAATGCAAAATAAGATTGGTTTAGCTTAAACACTAGATTGAGTAGCAGAAATTTTTAGTTAGATACCTTATCACCTCCTGAATTCTCTAGAAGATGGACGGTGCAGTAATAATAAGTAAATACATATATATATTTCAAAATAATTAATCTCAAGAATTTAGATATAGGAAGCGATGAGTTAGACGTCCTAAGATGACATGGGAAAGGTTATACTGAGAAGCTTTGAGCAACCATGAAGCCAGCTAAGAAAGATCATGGAGAACAGAATACAATGAAGATGTGATGTGGAAACCATATACGCGACTTGGAACAGAAGTGTAATTTATCATACTTATACTAATAATAAATTGAGGATAAGTA